TTCTCCCCCATGTCTCTCACATCTCCGCACCGCTGAAAAACTGGAAGCCTTCCCTGCCATAAACTTTCCCCCCCAGCGTCTCCACGCCCACCCTCCGCGCACTTCAGCAGTTGTCAGGCCCCCTCCCCTTCCAGGACTCGATGACGACGGCGCCGCGGAAAGGTATTCCATCTCTCTCCTCGACGAGAACCCAGCGATGCCAACAGCGCAAAGGATGCTAGAAATAATCGCCAAAGACCCTGTTGCGCAAGCGAGCTTCTTCATTATCTCCGAGCTTCCGGCACCTTCCGCCGACCCCCTCCGCATCGCCGATTCCCAAACACGTCTGTCAAACAGCGCTGGCTGTGGCTTCCCCGGCCCCCCCACCCCTGCTCACCCCTGCACCGACTCGGCCGCAGGCCAGGAGACGGCCAGCGCGTGGAATACCTAGCCCACCAACCACCTCCTTCGAGCGCCACCCTGGCCCCCTCATTGCCCCCTCCGCCTTGGCCTCCCTACACCTCGCCGTTATCGCCTCCTCCGTCTGCACTAAGCCACCGAGCACCCGACAGCGCCGGGTCCGCGGTTCAGCATGCGATTGTTCTGTGAACATATCTTGGGAACTGGGCCCTTCGACGAGTTGCTCCAGCACAATGGGACAGCCAACGGAGTCGTCTTTCCGGACGGTTACGCAGCTTCCGCCGTGGGAGGCGGGACGAACATGATTGCATCGTTGAGCGGCCCCATCGAGGAACAAGCGCGCCTGAGCACGCATTCCCACATGGTGTTCCACTTCGTCAACCGAACGTCTCAATCACGGTTGCGCTCCGTCCTCCGCAAAGACACAGCCGCGGCGCGATCGACTCTGCAACGTTGGCAGCGCGCTGTGCTCCAAGCCGTCGAGGCCTTACAGATTACATCTTCCGCTACTTTCCCACTGCACTTCGTGGACCACGCCTCAGAGGCTCCACCCCTCAAAAGCACCCCTTACCTTGAGAGGTGGCAGCGCGAGGACAAGTTCGACGGCGACCTCGAGGGCGACCGAAAGGACCCTACCAGGCGACGACTTCTGGTTCCTCCAGCGCCCGCCTTCGTCGACCATCATGTCCTACGCTACCTACAGACGCCGCGCGACGCGACCACAGGCACCCCAGTTCGAGAACGCGCCCTTCCTTTGACAGGCGCGACACTTTCAAAGCTCCCGCACTACCGCATCCTCCCAGAAAAGCAACCATCGTGCCCATGCGTCGGCTGCGCGGCGAGGTCTCAGGTCTTCGCGACCGCCACCCACGACGATGCGACTACGCAGGCCGAAGCTGCGGCTTATGCGGCTGCATTCGCAGAAGATCACTGGAACATCAGCAGCCTCAGCGGCCGCATCCATCAGCACCATGACACATGCTTCAAGTACATAGAGGATGGCATCTCTCGCAAGCCTCAACACTGCCGTTTCGGATTCGTGCACTTCGTCAGACTCTGGCTGCCGTCCACCACCGACAGCCCAGGTCAAGGTGAGGCCAAGGAGCGGATTGTAGAACGGCTACTGGCCCGCGTGGGAAAAGGAGCCACAGCTGCCACGAGTACGTGGCCAGCCTCCTATAGACACTCAATCCATGCCTATCCTGGCCGACACTGGATTGTTCACCGATGGCTCCCTTGGTGCCAGCGTCGAACCCGACGACAGGCAGGCGCGCCGTGGGCGCATCAATACAGTGCGGTTCAACCCCAGAGAGGGCAGCACGACAATGGCAGGAAAGGTTGCGCACAGAGGGAATTTGGATTACCAGGATTGTCGCCGCACCCTCACGGACAGGTATGAGTACGACAACTCCGAGGATTACCTTCGGCGGGATACCCCGCTAACTAAGCGAGCAGGACTTCCACCCATCCTGCACATGCACCGCGATGGTCTGCGTAGCTTGAAATTCCTATCCGAAAGGCTCCGAGCCGTCTTCACGCCGTCTTGGACCCGTCTTCCAATGCATTATGTAACGGCTCTCTTCTTCGCTTTCCTTCCACTCCCTTTCGCACGCACAGCCTCTGCAGAGCTGGTGGCTCGCATGGTGGCGTGCTGAGCTCACCTCACACGGCTTCAGTATGTCAAATGGTTCGAATGATGACTTGCTGTGCTTACTTCGAGGCTCGCATGGCAACGTGCTGAGCTCACCCCGAAAGCCACCAAGGACTCTGAAGACACGCACTGGAACCCTTATGAGGCCTCCCACTGGGAACCCACTTGGCCCAAACGGACAACCAGGGAACCAACGCAAAGTTCCTCCAGGGGTCCACTTCTTGGCCGTTCTCTGATTCGCATCTCACCCCTACGAGCACTCTGAGGGCGGGGCCATCTTAAGCTTTCTCGCGCCCCGCCTTCTTGGAGCCGTCTTCACGCCATCTTGGTTCCGTCTGTCAATTACTTCACATGCCTCGAATGATGCCGTGCTGTGCTCATTTCGAGGACCGCAGGGCAACGTGCTCAACTCACCCCGACGGCCCCCAAGGGACTCCGAAGACACGCACCGGAACCCTCATGAAGCCTTCCATTGAGAACACACTTGGCCCAAACGGACAACCAGGGAACCGACAATAAGCTCCTCCACCCTCCTCCCTTGCACTCCTGCTCCCCTGCCTCCTCCCTCCTCCCTTGCACTCCTGCTCCCCTGCCTCCTCCTCGCTCCTCCCTCCCCCTCTCCCTCCTTCTGCCCCTCTCCCTCTCACCTCCCCCCTCCCTCCCTCCCTCCCTCCTTGTCCTTCAAGAAAGGGGGACTCACGTCGGGGATAGAACCTCGAGGATGGAACTTCGAAGATCGAGAACACTTTTGACCGTCTTCGTCTCTCTTCAGCCTCCTGGGCCCCTGCGCGGCTGAAACGGACAATGGGGGAACCGATTGCAACGACGACCACGACGACGGCGACGCCGACGACGACGGCGGCGGCAGCGACGGTGGCGGCGACGGCGACGACGACGCCAGCAACGAGGACGACGACGACGACGGCGACGGCGGCGACGGCGGCAACGGCGACGACGGCGACGGCGGCGGCGACGACGACGACAACGACCACGCCGATGTCGGCAGCAACGGCTACGACCACGACGACGAAAACGGCGACAACGACGACAACGACGTCCCCGGTGACCCTGAGGATGGCTGGACACGCCCCGACAGAGCGTCACAACGTCAAACGGACAACGCGGGAACCGACGTAATGCGCTCTATGGGCATCCTCTTCCTTGCTGTTCTTTTTCTCGCAAGTGACGCCCACTTGTCCTTCAAGGAACCCCGCGAAACCGGGCGCAGTTCGCAGTACATTTGCGCGTCGTCATACACTCGTCTCGTCCTCCATCCACATCCTCTTCCCACTAGTGTCCCTCCTTGTCCCCATCCCCTCCGCAGCGCTCTAACCACTCTCACCTCTCCTCTCTCCTCTCCTCCCCTCTCCTCTCCTTCCTCCACCGTTACTCCATATCAATACTTGCACCTCGCCCATCGCCCACCTTTAACAGGGCATTCTGACAGACCAAACGCGCGCGTCCAAAGCCCCGAACGTCTTTGAAACACCATATCCAAGCTTGTGGGCGCAGTACTGCCCCAAGATAACCCCAGGACGGTTGGCGGTTCCTCGACAAAGCCTCACAGCGTCAAACGGACAACAGGGGAACCTGATGAGACCCCAAGTGACGCCCAAGAAGACCCCAACAGGCCTCAAGACCTCATGACGCCTCCATAAAGCCCCGACAAGCCCCCAAGAGAGCCCCATAACTGCCCCAAGATCCCAGGACTGCCGGGAGCGCCTCGACACAGCGTCAGAGCGACAAACGAACAGCCCCGGGACTCCCTCAGGAGGGCCCCGGGACGGCTGAAGGACCTGAGGAGGCCCCAAGAGGCCCCCAAGCGTCACAGCGACAAACGGACTGCCCCGGGACTTCCTGGCTCGTACGGCAATTTCCTGAGCTCACCTTACGAGGTCTTCAGCAAGCCCCCAGAAGCGCCCAACAGGGCCTCAGGACAGCACCGAGAGGGCCCCCCTCGACAAAGCGTCAAGGCGTCAAGCGGACAACACGGGAACCCATGTAATGCGCGTAAAGCAGCACAGCGTCACTCGGACCACACTGGATCCAATGTAATGCGCTCCTTGGCCTTCCTCTTCTGGGCTCGCATGGAAACGTGCTGAGCTCACCCCGTGGCTTGCACGGTCGCGTTCTGAGCTCACTTCCAAGACGCACCGTTGTTTTTCTGGCCGCCTTTCCCCCTGGACAGCTGTCGCAGAGAAACCCCAAGCGAGTTTTCGTGTTGCCAGAAAGCCTTACAAGATGCCTCCAGGAGGCTTCAGTACGGCCGCATGCGGCCCCCGACCGCCGCAAGTTGTCCAATCCAGTCCTTATACAGTCAGACACATCCCCGACACAACCTCCAACCAAACCCGACGGCCCCCAGGAGCCCCCAGATCCTCCAAACTCAATTTTCTCGCCCGTCATATGTAACCGCGCCCCCTCCCTTCCCTGTGGCTCGCATGGAAACGTACTCAGCTCACCTCGTGACTCGCACGGTCGCGAGCTGAGCTCACCCCCTCCCTTCCATGCGGCTCGCATGGACACGTGCTGAGCTCACCTCGTAACTCGCCTAGTCGCGTACTGCGCCCACTTCCAAGACGCATCGTCGTTTCGTGGCCACCTTTTCTTCAGAAACGTTCCTGACAACCTCCGACGAAATCCGAGGTTTCGGGTTCTCCGCCCCAATCACCACTCCAGAGGCCCCCAGAAGCTCCCAAGAAGTTCCCAAGAGGCCCCAATAACGCCTGAAGAGGCCCCAAAAGGCCCCCAAGAACCTTCCAGAGGCCTCCAGCAAGCCCCCAGAAGCGCCCAAGGTGGGCGCAGTACTGCCCCAAGATAACCTCAAGACGGCTGGCGGTTCCTCGACAAAGCCTCACAGCGTCAAACGGACAACACGGGAACGTGATGATACCCCAAGAAGACCCCAAGATGCCTCAAGACCTCAAGACGCCTCCAGGAAGCCCCCAGAAGCTCCCAAGAGGGCCCCAGGACTGCCCGTAGCCATTTTGGCTCAATTTGGGGCTCAAGAGCCTTCCGGTCAGGATATCTTGCGCGTGCCCTCTGATATAGTTAATTGCACCGATTCGGCGCTTACCATTGCAAACAATGGACTCGTTCACGAGGCGTGCCTCATCTCAGTGCTTTCACAGCGATGAGTATTTTGAAACCTACACTTTCTCTCACCAATTCGACCAAGCATCAGGTGGCATGTGTACGTCGTTGCCCAGTTGGGGCTCACTGCCCACCATGCATCCGGTCTCCATGCAGTCGCAGCTTGCCCGGCAGGAAAACCACCCCATGTTGCAGTCGAGCGGCGGCGAGTCGTGGAATACTTTTGACGAGTTCGACGACCCACGCGGGCGTCGGCGGGCAGAAATCCAAAGCAGCAGCCCATCCGAACACGCGCAGGATTCAGCCCAGTTGGGCCTTGGCGGCGCCCCCTCTGCGGCCGATGCGCAGCTGCCATCTCGGCCTGGAGGCGTTCTGCTGCTCCATGGCCAGTCGCTGCCGCGCAGGCAGGAAGACCCCCCCATTTTGCAGTCGAGCGGCGGCGAGTCTTGGAAGACCTTTGACGAGTTCGACCACCCGCGCGGGGGCGCTCTGCCTCTGACCACAGTAGGCGCTCTTCTGCTCGATTGCTCCGCGGGGGCGGCGCCAGCCTATTCACCGACCAGGCCGCCCGGCATGCCGCCGCGTTCCACCGCCGAGACGTGGCTGGCCGCTGGCCCCCCAGGCGAGCCAGACCGCGCGGCGCGGGCGAGACAGCCGGCCAGCGGAGGGCGGGCAGGGGCCTCCACTGGCACGCCCGCGGCCGCCACGGCGCTGGCAGACATGCGGGCCCGGCTCCTGGCGCAGGAGCAGCTGCTGGCCCAGGTCCAGCAGCAGGCCCAAGACCTCAGGCGCAGGATCCGCGAGCAGCAGGCCGACCTGGCGGAGATGGAGCTTCAGCAGGGCGAGCTCGTTGACAGCATGCCGGCAGCCACCGAGGAGGCGGCGCCCGCCACCCCTGGCGCTCCAGCAATCACCACGCTCATGATCCGCAACATCCCAATGTCTGTTACGCAGCGTGACCTGCTGGACCTCATCGACAGGGCTGGTTTCAAGAACCGCTACGACGCGGAAGACCACACCCTCCTGCTCCCCTTCATGGCGGAGCTCGGGCGCGTCGGGTCGCTGGCTCCCTCCGGCGAGGCGAACCTAGTGGTCAAAAGCGGAACCCCACGACGAGGGGATGAGCTGGCGGTGGCGCCGTGCTCCAATGGCTTGAACACGTTTCACAGTTTTGATATGTTTCACATTCGTGACCCCCTCTGGGGAGGAGGTGACAGGGGAGGCAAAAATGCAGCTCAGAGTTCGAGGGACAAGAAACTCCAGCAGTTGCACTTTGCCATGGCAAACATGCAGAAGCAGCTGAACTCGCTGTCGGGGAACCAGCAGCGCCAGCCGGCTGCACCAGTTTCACTTACTACGCCGAAGAAACCGCGGCGACCTCGACGGGTCGCCCATGAGCCGCCGCTCCTGACAGAGCTCCGGGGCCTCCTTGCCCAGGCTGACCGCCTCAAGGAGCCGCCGTCCACGAGCCAGATCGTCGAGAAGCTCACGGCAGTGCTCGCCAGGGCGGGCGCCCCGCCATCCAGCTCGCCTGCTGGGTCCCGAGGGCCCGCACCGGCAGCTGCAGCAAAACTTTCGCCACCGCCGCAGGGCCAGCGCTCGTTCCACAAGGTGTGGGCGCTCGACTGGGGCGGTGCCAAGATCATACAGGCCACAGCCGCCCCCAAGGCAACGATCATCGAGCCCGTCGTCATCGCGTGCCAGTCCGACCACGACTACGACAAGGTGATGGAGTGGCGCCGGGCCACAGGCTGCACCGTCGCCTGCACCTTCGTCGTGTTCAACTCCGCCAAGGCGCCGCTGTCCGACGTGCTCGTCGAAGGACCGCGGGGTCCCACTACGCAGAAGGCTTGGCTCGAGGGCGTGGGCTCAGGCGCGCCCGTCCGGTCCAAGCTACCCCAGTCCGTGAAGGACGACACCGCCGAGCCCGCCCCAAAGGTCGCCACCTTCTCGGTCCGCATCACGGTGTCCGACGCCTACGCCGAGAATGCCCTTCCTTTTCGGGCGTGCGCGCCAGGAGCCCTTGGCGCTCCCCGCCTTCGTCTTCAGCCCGGAGGCGTGCAAGCACATCCAGCGCGTGAAGGCCGCCATCGACTACACGTCGGAGGTAACCTGCGTAGCCATCGTCCGCGAGACGGGCCGCTCCGACATCATGGGCGGCTCCCTCTCCACCGGCGTCTTCTGCAACGAGCAAGGCACCACGCTCGTGCCACGCTGGTTCCCCCAGAAGTCCGAGGAGACGGCATCCGTGTATTACAACAGGGTGCTCCAAAATGCTACCGGCGCCTCCGGCCGCCTCGTCTTTTGCCCGTCCCTCGACGCGGCGTTCGGCGTGGTCGCAAAGAAGGTAATCATTGACGCAGACAGTGTCGGCCCCAGATGGTGCATCCAGCGGGCCCCTGAAGGGTGGACAAACACCGATGAGGTCGAGGCGTGGATCACCGCGCGGGGCTTCGTCAACGTATCGAGCGTGGCCAGGTCTGGTCGTCGCCGTTGGTTTTTCCGCGGCGACCTTGCGGGTTGCCCTGACCGATCGGCTTTCCAGTTCAGCTCAGGAGTGACCGTTTCCATGGTCCTCTCGGGCCCCAAGAAGAAGAGGGACGACGAGGCGTCCAAGCCAAAGAGTACATGGGGCGCCCCTGCCAGCAAGCACGCCCCTGCTGCACCGACCCCAGAAGCAGAGGACGGCGACCACGCCATGGATACGGCCGAGGCGGCCCCTGCTGCCGAGCCAGCCGGCACGCCTCCAGCCAGCACGCCTGCAGCCGGCACGGGCCGCAAGGGCCCCCCGCTCGCTGGCGCCCCGAAGGACAAGAAAGCCAAGACCACACCGCCCAAGCCATTCGCTGAGCATTTCGACACAGTGGACTGCGGCGGAGCGGGGGGCTGCTTCTACCTCTCCAGCTCGCGTGGTATCCACGCGCTGAGCCGCCACCCGAAAGCGCTGAAGAAAGAGGACACCGACCCCGGCGGGAACATGCAGGCCTCCCTGCGCCTGATCATGGCCTCCGAGCTCCGGAAACGCCCCAAGCACTACGACGTGCCCCAGATTGCCGACATCGTCGAGAAGCTCTCCACAGCCGGGCAGGCCGCCACGTCCATGACCGTGCACGCCACCGCCGTGGGCAGCTCCACGGAGTTTGCCATCTGGGCCAAGTCGTCCAGTGGCCACTGGACCCTCTACCTCCCGCCGAAGCCCCCCGCCGGGAGCAAGTACAAGCAGACGGTGTGGCTCGTCCTCGAGAGCCGCCACTACCAGTGGCTGCGCCCCAAGGCGGCGGCCCCCCTCACCAAGGAGAAGGACAAGGAGTGGCGCGCCGCTGCGCTGCCTTACCCCACCGACTTCACTGGCGCCGGCCGCGGCACCACCGACCCCGACCTCGAGGCTGCCAAGGAGCTCCTCGGGATCACGGACGACAGCGACGACGACGACAGCGACCTGGACGCCGCCCGCAGCCTGCTGGGTCTCTCTGCCCCCTCCTCGCGCCGTGGCCGCACCGCCCGCGCCCGCAGCTTCCTGGGCTGCCCCGAGGAACAAGAGGCACCACTGCCCTCAGCCGGCCACCACCTCATCTGCCCTTCGTGCGGATGGAAACCCACAGCCGCCACCTGCAATGCGCGCCGCACCGAGGCGAACCGCCACTGGTGCAGCTGTCAAGGCACCAACGCCCCCCGCGCCGCCGACGGCGGCCGAGCCGCCCGCGCTGCCGCCGGCGTCAACGCCCCCCGCCGCGGCGCTGCCGCTTTTGCCCGCTGGCAGGCCTTCCTGGCCAAGCGCAGCCCACGCATCCAGCCTGCCTTCTGCGACCTCATCGGCACGGAGGGCAGCCGCCGCGAGACCAAGCAGGGCACCGTCGCTACCTACAAGTGCGTGCGGTGCGGCCTGAATCGCACCCTCGCCGAGGCCCGGCGCTGCCCCTGCACGGCGAGGGCAAACAAGCAGACCGTCTCCCGGGCGCAGTTCCTCGCGAGCTCCCTGGGCCCCAAGAAAGCCAAGGCCCAACGGGCCACACATGCCGCTGCCCAGCGGAAGTGCAACGCCGACTGGCGCTCTCGGAACCCCGAGCGCCTAGCCAAGCTCAAGCGGGAGAGCCGCCAGCGTCACCGCGACGCGATCCTGGCCCGGGAGCGCAAGTACTACCAGAAGAACAAGACGCTCCTGCAACAGAAGGCGCGGAGGGCTCGCGCCAGCTGGACCCCTGAGCAGCGCGCCCAGGAGGCCAACAACCAGTTCGTCTACCGCGTCCTCGCGAAGGCCCGGCGCGACCAGGGCCTCTCGCGGTGACTAGGCCAAGCATCACGCTCATCACCTGGAGCTGCAGAGCCCGTCTACCGAGCTATGGAGCCAGCGCCGGGAGTTTCTCACGCCGCACCTCGCGCTGACTTGGCTCGTCCTGGAGCCCCCCCGGGTCAACGTCGAGGGTCTCACGTCGCAGCTTGTGCTGAATTGGGCGGTCCTGGAGCATTGCTGGGTCGTCTCCAAGCATGTTACGTTGCAGCTCGCGCTGATTTGTGTCGCCCTGGAGCCTTTCCGGGTCGTCGTAGAGAGTCTCACGCACCACATCGTGCTGAATCGTGTCGTCCTGGAGCATTGCCGGGTCGTCCTCGAGCATCTCACGTCGCAGTTCATGCTGAATCGGGCCGTCCTGGAGCCTTGCTGGGTCGTCTCCAAGCAAGTTACGTTGCAGCTCACGCTGATTTGTGTCGTCCTGGAGCCTTTCCGGGTCGTCGTAGAGAGTTTCACGCACCACATCGTGCTGAATCGTGTCGTCCTGGAGCATTGCCGGGTCGTCTTCGAGCATCTCACGTCGCAGCTCATGCTGAATCGGGCCGTCCTGGAGCATTGCCGGGTCGTCTCCAAGCAAGGTGCGATGCAGCTCACGCTGATTCGTGTCGTCCTGGAGCCTTTCCGGGTCGTCGTCGAGAGCTTCACGCACCACATCGTGCTGAATCGTGTCGTCCTGGAGCTTTGCCGGGTCGTCCTCGAGCATCGTACGTCGCAGCTCATGCTGAATCGGGCCGTCCTGGAGCATTGCCGGGTCGTCTCCAAGCAAGGTGCGTTGCAGCTCACGCTGATTTGTGTCGTCCTGGAGCCTTTCCGGGTCGTCGTAGAGAGTTTCACGCACCACATCGTGCTGAATCGTGTCGCCCTGGAGCATTGCCGGGTCGTCTTCGAGCATCTCACGTCGCAGCTCATGCTGAATCGGGCCGTCCTGGAGCATTGCCGGGTCGTCTCCAAGCAAGGTGCGATGCAGTTCACGCTGATTCGTGTCGTCCTGGAGCATTTCCGGGTCGTCGTCGAGAGCTTCACGCACCACATCCCAAAGGCACTGTGTGGCGGCATCCTTGTTTTGATATTACCCCGTTGGCAGACAACGCACCACATCGTGCTGAATCGTGTCGCCCTGGAGCCTTGCCGGGTCGTCTTCGAGCATCGTACGTCGCAGCTCCTGCTGAATCGGGCCGTCCTGGAGCATTGCCGGGTCGTCTCCAAGCAAGGTGCGATGCAGCTCACGCTGATTCGTGTCGTCCTGGAGCCTTTCCGGGTCGTCGTAGAGAGTTTCACGCACGAGATCGTGCTGAATCGTGTCGCCCTGGAGCCTTGCCGGGCCGTCTTCGAGCATCTCACGTCGCAGTTCATGCTGAATCGGGCCGTCCTGGAGCATTGCCGGGCCGTCCTCGAGCGCATCGCGTTGCAGCTCACGCTGAATCAGGTCATCTTCGCCAGCTTCACGGTGTAGTCCATGTTGAATCGGGTCGCCGTCGAGCTGGTCGCCCCGGAGCTCCGCCGGGCCATTGTCGAGACTTTCACGTTGCAGTTCATTTTGGGTCACGTCGGCCGGGAGGTTTTCCATGTCGTCGTCGACGTTTTCACGCAGGTCAGGGGCGCCCGTTACGTCCTCCCCTTCCTCCTCTTTTTCCCCCTCGTGCCGAATCCCGTCGCAGCCGAGCACGGGGTCATCGAGGGGCTCACGCTGAAGCACTTTTTCGTCATGCTGGCGGCCCGGCTCTTCGACCAGGTTGCCGCCGAGGCCGTCTTGTTGGTACTCCTCTGTTGCGGCCGAGGGCCCCCCCGGAGAGCTCTGAGACCGATCCGCAAGATCCGCTGATGGGAGGCGGCGACACAACCGAGGCTGTCAAGGTCGTTTCCATCAACGTCACCAGCCTCACCCGGGCCAGGGCCGAGGCTATTTTCAGGCACCCGCAGTTGGAGTCGGTCACGGTCATGGCTTGGAGCGAGCTCCGGCTCGCCGTGCAGCGACCTCCTTGGCTCATCAAGCTTGCGGCCCAGTTTGGCTGGGGCGTGGCGTGTTCTGACCCGCCGCCCACAGACGTACGAGGCAGCACGACCCAGGGCGGCACCGCCATACTGTGGCGCCGCTCCGTGGGCAAGATCACGGTATACAGGAGCAGCAGCCTCGGCCACCGAGCCGTCGCCATCCGCACAGCAAATGCGGCTTACGTATCTGGTTATGGCCCTGCTCAAGGAGATGCCGCCTGGCTCGTTCGAGCCATGGGCTGGACGCAGGACCTCGCCGACACAGCAGTATTATTTGGCGATCTGAATTGGAAGCCCGGCTACTGTCGTGAGGTGTGTGCTGGTTGGCAGGCTGCTACGCCCTGCGGCCCCACCACCACGGCCGGAAGCGCACCGTCGCGCCTGCTCGTCCGGGGAGGGGATCCCGAGCATGAGCCATCCCATTTGTCGAACACCTTCGTGGAGGGCATCCCGTACCATAGCCTGTCCATCTTCACGCTCACGGTTGAAGAACAGCATCGGCAGCTCTACCGGCTCCACCACACAGCCGAGTATCAAGCCCACAAGTTGTCCTTCATCACAGACGCCGAAATCGAGGCCATCATGGAGTCGTGCGACCAGGTGACTCCGAAGCCGATGGCCACCGAGCCCCTCTTGAACCGATGGAGGGCTTGGCACGCCCGGGCAGAGCACGCCCTCAAGGAAGCCACCACGAAACAATGGACGACATGTTCGAGGAAACCCGAGCGAGAAAAGGGCAGCATGCCCACCAGCCGGCCCGCGGCAGCCCCACCGCCGCACCAGCTGGAGGAGACGGTCGCGCTCCGGCGTGCCCGCCGCCTGCACCGCAGCTTCAATGAGCAGATTTGCCACCACTTCAAGGGCAACGTGCTGCTCAACGACAAGCACCCCTCCAAGTTCGCCCAAGCTTGCATGGATGGCGTCGTGACGGCCCCGCCCGGGGGCATCCCTACGTACCACCGTGCGCTGGACAGCCTCTCTGCGGCCATCTCCGCCGAGCAGCAGAAGATATCAAACTCCAAGGTGCGATCGTGGGCCACCGTGCTCGCCAAGTGGAGCTCCGACGTCTACAACTACGCCACGCCGCGCTTCCGGGCGCCTGCTCCCGCCGCCGGCTTCGACGCGGCGGCCATGCGGGACGAGTGGAAGCAACACTGGGACCCTCCCAACTACGACCTTGAGCCCCTGACAGCGCGCTGGTTGGAGCGGGCGGAGGGCGCGGAGTTCCCGCAGAGCGCCTTCGAGGAGCAGTGGCTCCCGTCAGAGGAGGAGTTCATCCACTCCCTGAAGAAAGCCAAGGGCGCCGCCGGTTTCGACGGATGGACCTCCAAGGAGGTGAAGCTTCTGCTACAGATCGCGCCGCCGATCATCACCGAGCTGTACTGCCTGTGGTGCCACACGTCCATCTACGCCGTACAGCACGCCGGCCGCGCGCCGCGCGACCTGGCCCTGCTGGTGTTCCCATGGCGCGTGGTCGGCATCCCTAAGAAAGACGAGAATGAGTCGCGCCCCATCGGCGTGGCAAGCGTGCTGCTCCGGAGCTGGCTCAGCGCCCTCGCGCTCGCCCTGCCAGAGGTGGCAGCCAACCAGTGGGCGTGCCGTCGCCGCACGTCCGTGGTCCACGCCGTCAGCCACTGGCTCTCGGAGGCCTGCACCGCGGGGCTCGAGATGGATCTCACTAAAGCGTGCGATAATATTGCGCACCGCATCGCTGAAGAGGCGTTCAGAAAAGAGGCAGTCCCCGAGACGGTCATCATGACGTGCCGGCTGGCTTGGGCTGGCCCTCGCGTCTGCTGCGTCTCGGACGAGCTCTCGGAGGCCATCTGGCCTACCAAGGCCCTGCCACAGGGCGACAGCTGCGCCCCGGGTGCCATGACGGCGGCCCTCGTCCCGTGGCGCCCAGAGCCCGCCCTGGGCTGGGCGTTTATGGACGACAGAAGCTTGGGCGCGAAGGGTGAACGCGCCGCCGAGGACCTGCGGGCCAGTCTAGAGGCCACGCAAGCCTTCGACAACGACGTCGGCTTCGTGGAGAACGCCGGCAAACGCCAGGAGTGGGACGCTCAGGGCAAGCAGCGGGTGGAACACCTAGGCCTCACGGCGGTGCCGGCAGACCCGTCCCAGCCCATCCTCCCCAGGGGGAACTGGAAAAAGTTGCTCACTGCCCTCGCGGTCCTCGCCTCGCTCCCGGGGGCCATGGACGTGCGCGAGCGGCTCAGCGTGGCGTACATCCGCCCATTGTGGAGCTGGGCAGCCCCGCTGGTGGCACCTGTTCCCCGCACTGTGCCGGGCCAGCTGTTCAGGGCAATCTTACGTTCAAAGTGCACGTGGTGGTGCCGCGGGCGATGGTGGGCTCAGCGCATCATGCTGCACCCGCTCCTCTCGCCGGCCATCATTGCTGTTAAAGCACTGGCCAGTCCGTTCCTGGTCTGGAGCCCTTTTGTACGACGAGCAGTCGCCGAACACTTCAAGCTTCTGGGTTTGACCATTGGCCGGTTCGAGCCCGAGTGGGGCCTTCAGGTGTTCGTGGACCGCAATGATTCTTATCAGATTCTTCAAGTTACTGCCGGCATTCGCCGCTACGACTGGTCTTTTTGGACGTCTTCACCCTCGGCAGCACACGTCCTGCGTGCAGTGGCACGCGTACGTTGTCTTGAAAGCGTACACAGTACGAGGCTTGACGCCGCTGGAGTGGCCCGCGTCGACGCGGACGCCTCCAGCACCGCAGTCTGGGCCAAGTGGCACAGATCGCTGTCGCACCGCGACAAGAAGTTCCTCGACATCTTCTGGTCGGGGGCCACCGAGACGCCGACGCGGGGGGGCGAGGCAGCGCCGTGCCCATGGTGCCGCCAGCCGCTCGCCAGCCTCCGGCACATGTTCCAGGACTGCCCGCGCTTCAACACGGAGCGCGCAGCGATCGCCAGAGATCTACGCCTTCCTTCCTCTTTCTGGCGCACCCAGCCCCGGGTGACGGCCAAATCCGGTTGGATCACCTACGATGCGGGGAGGACCCCGGAACGACGCGGAACCATGCAGGTGGCAGCGTGCCGGCTTGGGCTGGCCATCGTCGCCGCTACGTTCGACCTCATCGGCGGCTCCTCGTTCGACTAGGAGTTCGCCCTCTTCTAGCACCACTCCAGAGTTAGGGTGGCTTGCTATCAGCAGGTGTGTCAAGAACCGCTACGACTACGCCTACATGCCGGCAACTTTTGACAGCGGTACCACTAGAGGGATCGCGTTTGTGAATTTTGCCGCCTCAAGCGACGCCCGCGAGTTTTCCGTCTTGTGGGACGGATCGCGACTGACTGGAGTTGCCGGTGCTGAAACCAGCGGGACCGTGATCGAGGTCACCGCGTCGGCGACGCAGGGCTACTCGGAGAACGTCAGGATGTGGAAGGCGAGCCGGCTGCGCCGCATTAAGAACCCCAAGTTTCACCCTTTCATCGCCCCGAGGCCAGCTGCCTAATGAACGCGCGGTTGACATTTTCATTGGATGCGCGGGATGTGGGGGATGGGGGGGAGCGCGCGGGAGGCCAAGGAGGACGAGGACGAGGACGCGGGCACCGCGCAGCGCGCCCCAGAGCGCGCCGGTTGGCGGCGACGGGCCCACCACGAGCTGCCCTCCTAGCGGGCAGCCCAGCCAGGCCGCGCGATCAAGGCGTGCCATGTGCAGAGAGGGATTTGTTTAGTGCGCTCGCTTGAATCTCTGCACGCAGCCGTGAATCATCATCGGCGGCAGAGCTTCACGTAGTTTTCGCATTTGCTAGATCAGTATTCAGTATGAGAAAGTTTCAATGTTTCTAAGTGAGAAGCTTCCCTGGCCACATGAACCCGAGGTGCTCATTTCGAGGGCCCGGGTGCCTGAGGCCTCTTCGACCGACTGGAAATACCTGGTCGGCCGGCCGTGCCCTTCCCACTGACTTTGTTTCGTTCAACGTTGTAATATTTGAGGATTGTTTCATGTCAGTCTTTGCTCCACGCTTTCGAGCGAGGGCTGTGCCCACTGCCTCCCATTGTTCATTGAGTACCCTCGCCGCCCCAGCTGCCATGCGTTCAGTGCGTGGCACCGAAACCTTCGGAGGCCAGCGCTCGGCTGCAGCAGGCGTGTTTTTGTTTTTCTGCCCACGTCGCAGGGCCGAATGCGGGCACTCGAAGCCTTGCGCGACTTCTGGGCGCGTGGCACTCGCTGGCGCCTTCACAGTCCTCAACTCCTGGGACCCCCCCTCGAAAAAAAAGAGGGCCCCAGGACTGCCCCAAGACCCCAGGACTGCTGGAAGCGCCCCGACAAAGCGTCAGAGCGACAAACGGACAGCCCGGGACTCCCTCAGGAGGGCGCCAGGACGGCTGAAGGACCTGAGGAGGCCCCTAGAGGCCCCCAAGACGACCCCAACAAGCCTCAAGACCTCACCACGCCTCCAGGAAGCCCCCAGAAGCTCCCAAGAGGGCCCCAGGACTGCCCCACGGCTCCAGGACTGCTGGAAGTGCCTCGACAAAGCTTCACAGCGACAAACGGACAGCCCCGAGACTTCCTAGCTCGTATGGCAATTTCCTGAGCTCACCTTAGGAGGTCTCCAGCAAGCCCCCAGAAGCGCCCAACAGGGCCTCAGGACAACCTAAGAGGGCCCCACGACGGCTGGAGGCGCCTCGACAAAGCGGCACAGCGTCAAACGGACAACACGGGAACCAGCAGAATGCGTCCTATAGGCATCCTTTTCTTTGTTTTTCTCTGTCTCGCAATTCACGCGCACTTGTCCTCCAAGGTCGGGGTTCGTGACAATATCAGGTTCAATTGAAGTGCCCCTTCCGGGGCTTGCACCCTGTGTTTTATCAGGGAAAGTCGTGGGCATCAAACTGCGCTGTTGGCCCCCCGGACAACAACAACAACAACGGCTCCCGCCTGATATTTCCTCCAAATTTACTCAGGACCCCGCCCCCGCCTGGGACTTCCTCGCAGTTTACTCAGGCGGAGGCGCTCCCGCCTGAGACTTCCTCGCAAATTACTCCGGACCCCCGCCCCCGCCTGGGACCTCCTCGCAGTTTACTCAGGCGGAGGCGCTCCCGCCTGAGACTTCCTCGCAAATTATTCCGGGAGCGGCGCTCCCGCCTGGGACCTCCCTCACAACTGAGCATCAAACTGTGTTGTTGGCCCCCCGGACTACAACTGGCCGTTGTTTAGAGGGAGCTGCTGGGAGCCAGGGGGCGACAAATTCTCCAAACTCGTTGTGCGCAAAGGCGCGGCATGGGAGCCGCGCCAGGGCAATGTCGGGGCTAGCCAGGCAGCGCCCCCCGCGAAGCCCCAGTGGGCCCCTGGGCTCCAGGAAGCCGACGACGGCCAAAGTTCACCGAAAACGCCCGAAAACGCCCTGCCTCGATCCTCGACGGCCGTGGGCAAAAGCATGTCAGCCAGAAGAAAAACGAGGAGGAGGAGAAGGAGGAAGAAACGGAAGAGGAGGAGGAGGAGGCGGAGAAGACGACGACGACGACGTCGACGACGACGGCGGACGCCGACGACGACGACGACGACGGACACCGACGACCACGACCACGGGCGAACGACGCGACGGACACCGACAACGACGACGGACACCGATGACCACAGACGGACACCGATGATTACAGACGACCACGACCGCGGACGACGACAATGACGCCGGACGACGACGACGACGACGACGACGGACGACGACGACAACGACGACAACGGACGACGACGACAACGACGACGACGACGACGGACGACGACGACGGGCGACGACGACGGACGACGACGGCGGATGACGACGACGGCGAGGACGACAACGACGACGACGAATTTAAAGAGGGGCGACGACGACGACGATGATGGACGACGACGACGACGGACGACGACGACGACGACGACGGGCGACGACGACGGGCGACAGCGACGACGAACGGGCGACGACGGACGACGACGACGACGACGACGACAACGGACAGCGACGGACGACGACGACGGTGGACGACGACGACGACGGACGACGACGATGGCGGACGACGACGACGAAGGACGACGACGATGATAGACGACGTGGACGACGGACGACGACGGACGGACGGACGGACGGACGGACGACGAACGGCAGCGGACGACAACCGACGACAACGACGACGACGAGGAGGAGAAACAGGAGATGGACGAGGGGGCGAGGAGGGGAAAGAGGAGGAGGAGGAGGAGGAGGAGGACGGGGAGCAGGAGGAGGAGGAGGGGGACGAGGAGACAGAGGAGGAGGAGGAGGTGGAGGGGGAGGAGGAGGAGGGGAGGGGGAGGAGGAGGAGGAGGAGGGGGAGGAGGAGGAGGAGGAGAGGAGGAGGAGGAGAGGAGGAGGAGGAGGGAGGAGGAGGGAGGAGGAGGAGGAGGAGGAGGAGGGGGAGGAGGAGGAGGAGGAGAAGGAGGAGGAGGAGAAGGAGGAGGAGAGGGGGGGAGGAGGAGGAGGGAGGAGGAGGAGGAAGAAGAAAAATAATAAGAATAACAATAAGAAGAAGAAGACGACTACGAGGAGAAACAACAGGAGGAGGAGGGGAAGGAGGAGGAGGAGCAGGAGGGAGGAGGAGGAGGAGGAGGAGGAGGAGGAAGGAGGACGCGACGACCCAGAGATCCGAGGATGTGTGTGTTTTCCATATTTTTTGTTTCTTCTGAGTTTTGGGCTTCGAGGCCCGTCGTCGGGCCCAGGGGCCATCGAAAATGGCTCCAGGGCGAAAAACCGCTCCTGGGGAGACGATCGCGACAGCCCAGAAATCCGAGGGCGTGTTTTTTTTTTTTTTTTTTTTTTTTTTTTTTTTTTTTTTTTTTTTTTTTTTTTTTTGTTTTTTCTTCCATTTGTCGTTTTTTCTTGGATTTCGGCACGCGGGGCCCGTCGTCGGGCCCGAGGCCATCGAAAGGGGCTCCCGCGCGAAAAAACACTCCCAGGGAGAGGGCGGGACCTCTGGGGCCGCGGATTGAAAACGACGTTGACGACGACGACGACCCACAGATCCGAGGATGTGATTTTTTCAGTCCGGAGGTTCGTTCTTGGATTTCGGCACGCGGGGCCCGTCGTCGGGCCTGGGGGCCATTGAAGAGGGTTCAGGGGCGAAAAACCACTCCCGGCGAAGGGGCGGAACCTCTGGGGCCGCGGGTCGAAAACGACGACGACGACGACCTAGAGATCCGAGGATGTGATGTTTTCAGTCAGGCGCTTTTCCCTGGATTTTGACTTGCGGGGCCCGTCGGGCACGGATCTCAGGGGGCGACGACGACGACGCTCGGCGAGCGCTGCCCCCCCCCGGATCCAGGTCCCCGGAAGCCCCCAAAATTATTGAAGGCCCCTGGAGGCCGGAGGGGACAACGCTTGCTCGCGGTCGCGTCGTCGTCGCCGCCGCTGCTGCTGCGGCCGCCGCCAACGACGCGCCGCCGCCGCCGCCGCCGCACGGCCCGCGCCGCGCGGCGGCGCGCGGCGCGGCCGCCCTGGACGACCGCAGCGGCCTCCTCCGCGACCTCGGAGGCCTGGCGCGGGGGGGGGCGCAGGGGAGCAGGGGGGTGGGCACAGGAGGGGGGCGAAGGTGCAAACGAGATCGTTTGGCGGTTCTGGCGGCGTGATGTTTTCTAGCAAACGGGAGGTTGCATTTGAGACGCGTTTTGTTCCTCATCTCCAAGGATGGGGGGCGGGAGCACGGGGCAAATGGGGGGCAGGGGGGGGGGGGGAGGAGGAGGAGGAGGAGGAGGATGGAGGAGGAGGAGGAGGAGGAGGGGAGGAGGAGAAGGAGAAGGAGGAGGAGGAGAGGAGGAGGAGGAGAGGAGCATTTTCTTTTTTTTTCGAAAAAAGGAGGAGGACGACAATTGTTTGACATCCGCGCGTCTGCCAAGGCCCAAGGCGCACGCTCTGGGAGATCGGCGCATCTCTCCAAAGGGACGCGCAGGTGCGCGAACAGGGCGCCAGCACCAGGGAGACCGAGCTGGCCGCCGGTCCGGTCCACTGGAGAGAGAGCGGCGGCGGCCAGCATTGAAGTAACAGGAAAAACAGGAGGAGGATGAGGAGGAGGAGGAGGAGGAGGAGGAGGAGGAGGAGGAGGAGGAGGAGGAGAAGGAGGAGGAGGAAAGGAGGATGAGGATGAGCGGGGAGGGGGAGGAGAAGGCAAAGATGAGGAGGGGGAGGGGGAGGAGGAGAGAAGAGAGGGGGGGAGGGGAGAGGAGGGATATTGCGGCGGAGAAGGAAAGGGGAAAAGGCCGAAAGACAAGGCGCGCCGTCCGCCTGGCCCCGCGCGGCAAAAGTCGCCGAGCAATAGAGGAGGGGATAGCAAAAGGCATAACAAAGGGGGGTCTTGAGAATCAGCTCGCGTAGCTGATTTTCCCGGCGCGCCCCGGTGCCAGAGGCGCTATGCATCGCAGGGTGGGCCTAGTATTTTCTTTTTTTTTATTTTTTATTTGGTTTTCGGTGGGGCAGCTCTTGCGTGGCAACAGTTTCGCCACCAACCCCCCCCTGTCCCCAATCCCTTCCATTCGTCCGGCCCGACACATCGAAGAGGGGGGGGAGTAGAAGGAGTAGAGGGAGGAGGGGGAGGAAAAGGAGGAGGAGGAGGAGGAAGAGGAGGAGGATGGAGAGGGGGAGGAGGAAGAGGAGGAGGAGGGGGGGGAGAAGGGGAAGGAGGGGAAGGAGGAGGAGGAGGAGGAGGGGTCTGCCCTGCGAACACTGGCGACCACCACCAGGAGACTGTGCCAGGAGGAGGAGGAGGAAGAGGAGGACGGGGAGGAGGAGGAGGAGGAGGAGGAGGAGGAGGAGGAGGAGGAGGAGGGGGAGGAGAAGGAGGAGGGGAAAGGGGCGGTGGTGAAAGGGAAACGTTGTCAACCAATCACGCCTTTAAGGGCTGGTGCGAATTGCATGCGATGGCTTGAATTACCCAGGTGATGCATGTTTTCGATATCGAGCCCGCGATCTCGCGGTTGCGAAAGCCAGATTTGGCGCGCAGTCGCGCTGGCGCGTGCCAGGCGTAGACGGCGTCGGGGGCCAGCGCGGCGACCGGCGCTGTAACGCGCAGGGGGGACTGCGGCGGCGGAGCATAGACACCTCCTAGATGGGCCCGAGTAGATGGGTCGGAGGATCTCGCCGCATCGCCGATACATCGGCGAAACATCGGCGATGCACAAGCGATGCATCAAAGACGCCGGCGGTGCATCGGCGACGTCGGCGCGACGCAAATCAGGCTCCGCATCGAACCGCATCGGCGATGCGT